CCCCCGGCCCTGTCACACTTACGGGCCGGCGGCGGGGAGCTCGGGCCCGGGTCCCCGCGGGCGACGCCGCTCCTCTTCCTCGAAATGACGTGGAGGAAGCAGGCGCCGTCCTCCGGCGTCCCCTCCCCGCGGCGGCCCGGCGGGCTCCAGCCTCGCCTCAGCCCGCAGCTAGCCGGGCCGCGGCTGCGGAGCCCCGGGACAACCCAGGTAGATAACCCGTGGGCCGCACCCCCGTGTAGCATCCTACCGAAAGTGGGAAAAATCCCAGAAAAAGTAGGGAGCGGGTGAGCTGGGGAAGGCGGCTCCTTGCCGTGTCTTCAGGGAGGGCACGGAGGCCTCAGGTTGGCCATCACCTCCAATTTTCCTCTTCACCCATTGCTTCACTTGGCTGGAAGCTGCTGGTTCGGCCTCTGGATTTGTCTGTGAAGTGACCAAGACTTGGCGTCCTCAAGCTAATTCTGGTGAATTGGCTTTATTTATTTGTTCGTTTGCTTTAAACCACATTCTCTGGGATTATGCGTTTGCATTATAAGGCATAGATCTGCCTTCTTTGCCAGACTGTGGCAAAAGACGTAAAACATTCAGTGACAGAAACCGGCACAGACCCTTTGCCACATACCAAAAAAAAAAAAACTTTCTGGAAAAACTCTGGAAAACCAAGTGTCAGGCGGTGGCCACATAGCCCTCGCCCTGCAGCCCACCATCTTGGCGGGAGGCCGCCATTTTGGAGGGAGCCCGCCATCTTGGGTCAGGGGGGTGAGGTGAGCCCTGGGGCAGGGGGTGGCAGCCGTCCCTCCATCAAGCAGAAGGCTTCATCCTCCTTCCTAGAGCAGCATGGTTGATTTATAAACCCCTCAGTGTACAGATCCATAAAGGTGATCCATGGCAGACGCATCTAGAATTGAGCAACAAAGTCATTAGTGGGCAGCCTATAGGCAACGCCAGCTTCATCCTGCAGTAAGTGTTTAAGGTCTGTGAAGTTTTTTTCCAAGTGCTTTGGCTGACCATAGTGTGTGTTTGGTGAGGTGGATTGGAGCACCGATCTGACAACTACCTCCTGTCCCCTCTCACAAAACCCCTCTGTCTTTGGCCCGATCATTTCCCAGATCTGTGACTACAACTCCTTGTACCAGCACAGGGAAAGAAGGGGAGGAGAGCTTAAGCCTGCAAGTCAGCTTAGAGAAGTCATGAAATGTGGACTGGTGTGGAGTGACTTATGGTTGCAAACATTTGCTGCATTAGTCAGTGGGCGCTGATTTTCTAAGATTTCAGGGAAGAGCTGCTTCAGGGGAAAAAAAAAGTGCTTTGATTTCCATGATGATCAGTTTGAGGAAGAGAAAACACTGCCTCCTCATTGAAGGGGAGGGTAAAAGGCTTTGGTTACTGAATGATCCTTCATCGTGCAGGTAACTAAAGGAAAGAGTCTCTTTCGGATCCTGAGAGAGCTGATACGACTCACTTCGTTGTGCAGATTACGTTGCTAGGACAGACTGGACTTCTTGTGATGGGAGCTGTCAGGTGGCAGGTACAGAGTATGTGTGCTTCAGCACGGGTGGGTGAAAGGAAAATACCACACACATCTTTCACTACTAGCTCTTAGATTCAGCAGCGTACAACCCATCCAAGATTGTAGCCAAGCAGTCAGACACAGCTGGTTGAATTCAAGACTTACTATTTAGATACTCATAATATATGCATTGCAGTCATAAGCAAAATGTCCTAGACCAAGAAAAAAGAAGGCATATTGCTTTCAGGTTTCCTTTTAAACTAAACTGACTAATCTTTTAAATATTACCTTCAAAATTGCAAACAGACTTGTACTCATTGGCCAAAGTATTTTGGATGGCCAGCAGTCAATCAGCACTGACTGTTAAAGAAATTAATCCTCAAAAATTCAAAACATGCCAAACAGTTGGAGAAAGAGTAGAAGCTGACTTTGTCATTTAGCAGATGTGGACTCCTACTTTCAGAGAAAAGCGGGAGGAGCTGTATAGCGGCGTAGCATTGCAGGGAAGTTGGTTGGGCTCTCTGTGCGCACTTGAGGCCTGCACACGAGCAGCAGGTCAAGGTTTTCAGAAGTTTTGCTTTCACTGTTTATGCAAAAGGCATCTTGGATTGCACCCTACTTGGATAGCAATGACCTTGTGCCAGTTCAGTGGGTGTTTTACCCATGGGGTAATTATTATGGTAGTTTCAAATGTCCTTACCTGTTTTTTAAGATAAGTGGATGAAACTATGACCCTGTATTCAAGATTTTTTTATTATTATTTTCTGCCTTGACAATGGATAACTATGTTTACTATTTCTTTATAAACACAAAGTTGGTTACTAAAGAGATGAGTAAAAGGGAGAGGTTTAGCTAGAGTAGCCAGGGAGGAGGAGGTGATTATGCTATGACCTAAGTACATCAGATTTCAGATTTAAATGTCAGAGTGGCAGGCTTCTCTCCAGTAACCGTGGTCATGTTGGGAAGTCACTGCTGATTTCTCTAAACTCCAGGGAATGCAATAACACCAACTGTTTACATGGCCTGCTTTGGGATTTGAGCTGAACAATGTGTTTGTGTTTGTGCTTGTTTGGTGAAGGAAATCTATTGGAGATACTGAACTGGGCCAAGTTCCTTAACTGAAATGGAGCTGACTTGGAGTTGATATGTTAATTGATTTCTATGTGTCGTGTTGTGAATTTATAGTGTTAACCACATATGAATCAGAGTGAAGGGAAAAGCATTGATTTCATAACTCTGAAGAGTCTAGCGAAGGGGGAAGATCAAGGAGTAAGATATAGTATAGAGCACAAGACGCTTCAAAACTCTTGGCATTTCTCTGAGCAGTCTGCACTGATACCAAACTTGTTCTTCAGGAGTCTGAAAAACTCTTGATCAGCCTAGAAATCTGAACTGGAAATTTCAAAAGAAAACCATGACCCTTCTGGCAGCATAGGATTAGGACTCTAATTAAGCTGGAAGAAGGTTTACAGCCATAAACTTACCTTTTGTTGGTGCCAAAACAGTTTGACCATACCTCATCTTCTGGGCGGTAAGAATCTCATGGCGTTACCTTCAGAGGAAGAGTGTTTTCACAGAATCATAGGACCCTAGAATGGTTTGGGACCTTAAATAACATCCAATCCCAACCCCCTGCCCCGGGCAGGGCCACCTTCCACTAGCCCAGGTTGCCCAAAGCCCCGTCCAACCTGGCCTTGAACCCTTCCAGGGAGGGGGCAGCCACAGCTTCTCTGGGCAGCCTGTGCCAGGGCCTCACCCCCCTCACAGGGGAGAATTTCTGCCTTAGATCTGATCTAAGTCTCCCCTCTGTCAGTTTAACCTCGTTTCCCCTCGTCCCATCCCTCCCCCTGATGACCAGTCCCTCCCCAGCTTTCCTGCAGCCCCTTTCAGCCCTGGGGGGCCGCTCTAAGCTCTCCCCGGAGCCTTCTCTTCTCCAGCTGAACCCCCCAACTCTCCCAGCCTGTCCTCACAGGGGGACTCCAGCCCCCCAGCATCTCCGTGGCCTCCTCTGGCCCCGCTCAAGCAGGTCTGTGTCCTGATGTGGGGGGCCTCAGAGCTGGACACAGCCCTGCAGGTGTTATTTTTGGTTCTTTTAAAGTTAGAATAGAACCAAAGAAGTAAATGGAATTTAGGTGCTTAGATGTAACTATCATAATGAAAACCCTGCTCAGTGCCCATCTAATCCTCAAGGTACCCCACCTGCAAAGGAGCCTTGTTCTCCACACAGTTCTAGCAGAATCTTGATGTTGGCAGTTCTGAGCACTTTAGCTTGATAATGCTTAGAAGCCACATTCAACCACTGAGGTGTTCTTATGGCACTTTCATACTCTGCCAGAATCATGCTCCAGTTTGTTTTGTGCTTGCTTTCAAAACCTGGCCAACAGAAGCTAGTGGTGCCTTCCCTGCTTGTCTTCAAGATTTGCAGAGTCTGTACAATGGTGCATGTTTTTGTAGACTATTAGTGCCTGGAAGAAAGGAAATCAAATTTCAGGTTCTTCTTTAAGGACCTGCTCATGTATTCTGTCCACACATTATCACACATGCCTTAATAAGCAGGGTACAATCATGTTTCTTGTTTAACAATGCTTTTTTCTCTGGGTTCTTTGAGAAGTTTTCTTACATTCTGAGAGAGAACAGACACCCCATGTTTCAGGGCGACCAGTATCCTGTGGTCAGAGCACTGTTCCAGAAACTGGGAGAAATGGGTTTGACCTCTCTTCAGTGAACCCAGGTGTCCCACTCCTTTGCACTTTGTCCAGCCTGCCTAAAGGGAATGATGACTGCTGTACCACCTCCCATCCTTAGGGATCCCTACTCTGTTATTAGAAAAAAAAACAACCTACAAACCCTGGGCAAACAGAAATTTCTTCTTTCTATCCTTGGTGCAACACCAGGCCCTGTAAAAGAGCAGATCCGAATTTTGTATTTGTTGTATTCTTAGTAACTGTAGGTAATACCTTATGCAGTGTGCAGACTTCTAAGCATCATCAAAAATCACCGTGATAGTAGTTCTGGATCTCACTGCTGAGATACCAAGGTCTGTGGTTCATCAAACCTTGATGTCAAAGAGACCCCAAGATGGTTGTGTCTCTAAAGAAGCTGTCCCATCTACCCTTCATTCCCCTCTTTCTTCTCCCTTGTCCTGAGTATTCATGAAGCCACACGGCATTCTAGACTGGGAAATGAACCCACTTGAAAACTAACCCTGAACAACGTTGGGTTTAGCTGTCTCGTTTCTCCAATCCAGTTCATCCTGTGGACAAAAACCAGTGTGCCATCCCAGGAGGGGGTGGCATGCAGTGGGGTCAGTAGGCTCAGCAGGGGGGAGTAACAACTTATTTCCACAGTGCTGCCAGCGTACCATGGCTTAAAGCACTCGTCAAAATACAACCGCGTTGTCTGATGTGGTATCGGGTGCCTCAGTGCCATTGGGGAGGTTCCAGATTTTGTTTCAAGATGCCTACATTTCAGGCATCACAAAACAGTCCTTTTTTCTAGCAAGGCGAGAGAGACAAATACACCTGACAATGAACATCCAGCACCTTTAGATGTCAAATATCTGCCTCTTATAAATGTGCAAGTCCATTTCCAAC